GGCAAGATTCTAGTTCTGATCATCATTGAGGCTACTACTCAGACACCAAGTAAATACTAATAACAATGAACGTGGAAAAGGATGAAACGGGCAACTTAAAGTAAAGAGAGGGTCTACAGTTTGAGTACAGATAATAGATACAAAAGAATACAGAGTGTGTTCTGAAAAAGAAAATCAAATTCAGTACCTATTCTTGTCACTTACAGTACAATCACAATAAATGTCATTGTGTGGTAGCAATTTGGTAAAATGAAAGACAACTCTCTTGTAGGACAAGACAAGATTAACCATCTCCATAAGCTGATATACATCGACAGCCTTACATTAGTTGATCACCTGAGTTTGAATCTGAGTCTTAACAATTCTTCTTTTTCCTTTACTGCTTTAGTGCTGAAGCAGAACATGGGACAGGAAAACGCTGTAGTACCTTCAGCTGTGATCATCTGAGATAGACATTTGGCCAAGGTTAAGTAGTTTGTTCTGTTTTTGTTTGTATTTCACATTGCATAAAATATTTCACTACTGCCACGACTCTTAGGGTAATTTTCAACCAGCCTCCTCTCCCCAGTTAAATGCAGACATAAAATAAAAGGGATCAACATGTTACTTAATTAACGGTTAATTAAGTGTTAGAAAGTAATTACTTACGAATTGGAATGCATAAATGTACAGTACCACATTAAATTTACCTTGTTTCGTTAATATACCCCCAATAACCCCCTACGGTGAACACAAAACTTTAAAAAATACAAAAAGAAAATGTGCAATCACAGGAAATGCGTCTCCGTTTTTTAAGGTGGAAGTCCCACTGTATTCTCAACAGCAAATGTCAGGACTCCCGGTGACAGGTAAATAACACTGACTGCAACCACCAGCCTTAGTCCCATGTGTGCTACTGTGAATGTACCCAGCCAGTGCCGGAACTATGCCTTCTGGGACAAGTCAAAAGAAAAGCTCATCAAGATTCTTACAGGCATGAAAATGCTGGGTTTTGAAACTGGAAGGAAACCAGTTTATGTGTAAGCCTCATGTCACGTTCGTAAACCCCTCCTCTTAAGGACGCTCCAGCCCTTCCTTGTTTTTCACTCATCTCCGCACCTGCTCCCTGTTCCAGCCCCCTTTTCAGTTCTCCTTAAAAGCCAGGCGCTCACTCTATTCCGGGCTCTGCATTGGTTCCCGTACCAGGTGAGTCCGGGACCTGGAAGCGTCTGGTCCCGTCAAGTTTTTAGTTCCTGTTCCTGTTCCCGTTCCCGTGCCGGTCCCAACCCGGTTCCTGTTTTTAACCCTTTTGTCTCTGATGGACCGCCCAACTTTGGACATTTTTGCCTTCTCTCAGATTCCCCCTTGGACTTATTTCTGGATTGTTTGCTTCGGCCACACCTCCCCCGAACACCAGCGCACCAAGGACACGCCACCCGTTTTAATTCACGACTCCCGCATGCTTTTTTCCCCGTGTTTTCCTCACTCATCCCCGGATTGTGTCGTCTGCATAGGGTCCGGAAAGAACGCTTTCGTTACACCCCATGTGCCAAGTGCTTGGGTTTATATGAATTGCAGTCCTCGATGTGTTTGTATAATGATGATTGCATGTTTACGCACTGTGACAGACTGGCACCCTGTCCAGGGTACAGTACCACCTTGTGCTCCCTGCCTCTGGGATAGACTCTGGATTGCCATGGCTCTCATCAGGAAATACTGTAAATAGCTTTTTTAATACAGCACAGATGAATGGAGGGTCATGCTTACTTTCAATCTCATGGATAACATGATGGTGTTCTGTGCAAACCAAGAAACCAACGCTTCCCATTATGGAAACTTCATTTACGGTATAATTTGGCTTTCTTTAATTCAAGCTTTGGCAGTCAAGGAGCTCTGTACAAAAGCTTGGTCAGCTGCTGGATGTGTGGACAGGCTCCATCTGGCTGAAAGATTTACTGTCTAACAGCCCTGACAATTAAGTCTATTGTTCTTAGTAAAACTGGTCCATTATTGTTTTACTCTAATTATAAAGTACATATTTAATGTACCTCCTTTAACGAACCTGAATAGGTTTCCCAAAACAGTGCATCATATTAATCACAAGAAAAAAACAGAACAAACACAGTAATGTTATCAGTGGAACTACACCCTTGCTTAGTTCAGACATAAAAAAAGATTTTCCCCATAATGTTTATCAATACATCCTAAGAGAATCAGAAAATTCCTTTTGGCATTGTAAGTGGTATCACACTACACCTTTTAAAGCATTTGATGTTTTTTTTTTTTCACATGGTATATAATTCAAAGAAAAATGAAGCATAGCTTAGACAATCTGTGTGATTACATTTAATGATCTCATCTAAAGTGCAAAGGTCAAAAGCTTCTAATTTCCAAGACACTGTTAAGCATTAATCATTAAATAAATATTCAGGTTCTCTAAGGTGAAATCACAGAGTACTTACAGAAATACTGCTTAAATTCAACCCCAATTGATTGCAGTGCGGAGCTTTTAAAATGTCACATCTCAATAAAAATTCAAGTGTGCATTAAAAAATGTTTTTTTTACATCTAAAGGTCGCAGACGAGTAAAACTTTTCTCGATGTTTGCATCAAATGACAAGGCTACTGTACATTGATGATGAAAATGTGGCAAAATCTCAGTGAATAGATATAAGTGCTATATAAAATGTATTTAAGATGCTAAATTGCCATTTTTAATTCCCACATCAGATCGCACGTCTAACACCAAAATACTTTAGAAGTCAAAATCTTCTGAGGGCGGTGCAGGTTGCATACAGCAGAACAGGCATGTGCTTGATTTACAAATGAGAGGAGTTACAAATGAGAGGAGGCTGTTCTGTCCATCTGGCCCTTTTGGTAGTTAGTAGCTAATTGATCGGAGGATCTCATCTACAGTAGGTGTTTCTGAAGGGAGACAGGTTGGGAATCAGCTTCAACAATAGGGCTGCATACAGTAGCTTGTTCCACACTTCCACCACCCTAATGTCCCTCCTCATAAGAGCAATTTCCTGCTTCTTGATGAGGCCGCCAGCACCCTTCGGAGTGGTTCAGGACTCTCAAGTCACAGAAACAGACAGACACACCCTGCAGGCACGTTGTCAACAAAGCCATTTTGTCTCCTTCAATCCTACAGTCCCTGACAACTGGCTGTAATGTGACCAATTGTAATAGAAAACTTAGTCTGTCAAATTGATTGACCCATAATTGTACTGATAATTGGGTGGTCTCTGCTAGCATGGGCTACCTCAGTATTATAATACCTATGGTTGATCTATTGTATTCAATAAAGCCAATTTGTCATGGTACCAGATGTGCTCTTGTGTAGACTCACAGACTTCCTTTTTGGCTGGGAGGAGATCAAAGCACACAAATCCTGGATAATTATTTCTCATTTAGATGTTACAGGAATCTCCATACCACTTGTTACGTTCATACACAACTTCAAACATCCCAACACCGCTTGTTCATTTAAAGCCCAGATGCTGTATGTGATGACATTTCCAGCCTGTAATTGTTTCAGCTGTTGTCAGTGTGTCACCAGAGGACATTGACTGTTTGCTTCACATTTTCAGTTAGGGACAGAATAAAAGAAAAGCCATTGTAGCATTCAGTTAAATGCACAGTACAGGTCATACTGTAGTTCTTTTAAGATGTAACTCAAAGAATCACTGCCCTTTCATTGAGCAACTATCCTTAGATCTCAACTTAAATATGCATTGTTAGTTTTTTCTTGACGTGACACTGAAACTAAAATTCTTGCAACTTTTAAAAATGCAGTAGTCATTTTCAATAGACTCCAGCTGCCTGGAAGACAAATTGTGACGGCTGAGTGTGGCTCTGAGATTTCCCAGTCTCCAAGTTTCCATGGTGACAGAATATGTAACTAACTTTCAGAAAATTCAGCAAAACACCATTCTTTCTGCACAATGAACAAGGTCCGCCTTCAGTTGTCTGTGGCATTTTAAAAACATACAGCACAGAATCTGACTAATGCATAAGCACTGTGAACTTTAACTACAGTATGAACTTACGTAATAGAAAGGCTGAATAACAGTAACAAAGACAAACTGGCAATAAACATCTACCCATTAGAAATATCAAATAAAATTAGCTTTCTGAGAAATTACACACACTTGCATGCTCAGGCAAGTTATAAATTAGAAGTAAATACTCTGATACTCCTCATATCTAAACTGCCTCATACTCAGGACTCGGTTTGCAGTTCCATCTCTGCAAGCAATTCAATTGTTTTATAAGAACAGTATTCTCTGCCCTTCTAGCTGTACAGTTCACAGTTACAGACAAAGCCGAGGTTATCACAGGTGTGTTAAAAATGAAAACGAAAATTAATTGCATCTGGAAAAAAGAGGATGGAAACAATTCACTGACATATTTAGCATATTATCATAATGCTTGATTGTGTTGATCCATTGGAAGGATGTACACTCCACTACATGACATAATGCAGCCTAAATTAAGATATTACATCCATAGCCTGCTGCCTCAAAACAGCTTGAATATTTTCATACAGTATATTGTCAAAACATGCATAATCCTCAGTGTAGTCCAGGCTTTCTACCAGGAGTCATTTATTATCAACAGTTCTGTGGGAAGAACTGATTTACGGATAAGGAAAACAGATCTCCTTTGTGTCCTGAATATTATTCATTTGGTATTCTTTTTGATGAAGGAAATGAACAATATCATCATAAGCTACCGTAAAAGTCATGATGCTCAATTCTACTCTGTCCTTTATCATGTCAAGGATGTCAGTGGATCACATTGGAAAGTACCCCAGAACGTGCACACCACTGCGTTTTACAAGGGTTTTCCAGAATCCAAACTTCTGTTTTAAACTAAAACAAATATATACAGAAAGAGGTGTTAGGAATAGTACCAAAGACAAAGCCAGCCACAAAGAAACTAAAAATAAAAAATAAAAACTGCGTGCACTTGACTGGACAAGGCGCCACTGTAAGTGGACTTCTGTGCGGCCTGACCTGGTTCTCCTCGTGGGTCACCCTCATCTGCTCCTTCAGGACCGACATCCTGGCTGCTTCCTCTTTGCGTAGCACCCGCTCCTTCTTCAGCTCGGGGCTCCAGAAGGTCTTGATGCTGTTCATGGAGGAGCCCAGCTTGCTGTCCTTGATGTCCAGCTCCTTGCGCAGCAGGTCGTTCTCCCTCTGCAGGTCCTTGAGCTGGGCCTGCAGGTCCAGCATGGTGCTGTCCCGCACCTGCCTGAGGGCGGAGGGGACCTGGTGGTGGTGCAAGCCCGAGGAGAGTGTGGCGTGGTCTCCGTAGGAGAGGATCTCGGTGTGCGGCAGGCCCGCCGAGGCGATGTTGGGGCTGCTGCCCATGGCTGTGACCCTCCCGCCGTACGTCGCCCTGCTGGTCGCCCTCCCGAGCGTCATCGTGCCCTTCGGGAACGTCGTGGACGCCACCCCTTCGTGGTCACTCAGGTACATCGGGCCGGAGGTGGCGTAGGCCGCGTTGAGCGACTGGATGTTCTCCATCGACAACGTCTTTCCCGCTCCCCCTCCCCCTCCACTGTTGGTCCGCCGGTGTCCCAGCCTGGGGGACCTCGGCAAGCGAGGTGACCGAGAGGGGCTGCCCTCCAAATGCCCGACCGTTCTCGAGCTCCCGTACATGATCGGTCCTCCCGGGATCGAGGCTCCTCAAGCGCAAAAGTGGGACTCGCGACTGAAGCGTGCAGTTTACAGAAGTGTTCTCGGTCCCCAGGTCCTGTCAGATAGCTGCTTAGTTCATTCTTGCAAGGGGCTGATTTGGGGGGGCCTTCAGTTCAGATCTGGAGAGAAGACAAGAAAAATATCATCATCGCCACTGAACAGTCCAGCTATAATACAATTTTCGAGTTTTGGGTTCATTAAGAAGATGCATGATAATTTCATAATTTCACAATTTCATAAATATGCTTCCCGATGCCACAGGAAGAAGCTTCTGATTGACCTTTAAAGTAGATGAATATATCTTACACTTAAATAGTATTGGTCCTTGCAAACTCCTTCATAAACGGATCATATACCATTACATATAATATATAAAGTGCTTAGTACTTGGAGTAACACAGAGAAATAACGTACCCCTGCCACGATGTATCAAGTAAGGAATGTTCTCATGGGTTCTCTGGTTTCAGAACAGAGATTCCACCTTCAGATACAAACCCACAGTGCAGTGCAAACTGGCATTTTCCTGTTTCGGGATAGACTGATTCATCTTATCTGTCTCAGAACTGTACGGTATAATGAAGTGCCGCATCACTGCCGATTTGGACAAGAGGGCAAGCAAAACCAAATGACTAGTTTCATTAGGTAACGCACAAGTCTAGTCAACCATACAGTATAAGCCTAGGATAACTCCCACATGGTATCTTGCTCCGCTGTGCTACTGTACAGTCCCATAACTGAAATGTTAAACTTTCTAAACTAAGAAAGAAAACTGATTGATTGACTAATTGACTGATGATTGACTGAAATTGTATGGCACTTGGCACCTTTCTTTCCCTAAAGGAGCCACTTCTCCTACTGATTGGCAGTAATGATCAGGACAGAAATGAGAAAGCAATTCACCGGCTGAAGTAAGAGGGAACTTGAGGGAGGTCAGATTGTGCAAGAACTCAGTGGAACTTAGCCAGGGTTAACACTCCTAATGTAAAGGACAGTACCGTGAGACCAAGTAGTCAGGACCTCAGGTCCTTGTTGACACATCCTACAGTGTTCCTGGTCCCTGCCCAGTACTCTGGACCACAGGGAAGAGCACCATCTATGGTTTTCTTTGGAGGTCTCCAATCCCCATACCAACTAGGCCAAGTCTAAAATAAAAATAATATTTCTGGCCTTGAAAATTTATTTTACAGTAATCCGCCCCCCAAAAAAAAGAATTTTGGGATTTTCTGAAATTAAGCCCAAAGACAGTGGTGGGATAAAAGAAAGACTGAAAAGGTTTTGTGATAATTTTCCAAATGTGATTTCATCTGCTCATCGAAATAATACAGTGAGACATCTGTCGACATAACTGAATATCAACACACATTCAGCATAGCAGCTAAGAAGTACAGATGTGTCCAAGTTTCACTCCAATAAAGGCTCAACTAGCTGCCAAGTTCTCAAGTCCTGAGATTACATGGTTTTAATTCCAATGAGTAAACAACAGTCAATATTAATATTTTAACACTTTGTTGCTCCAAATAAGTATATGTTTAATAATCTGTTAATTCATTAAAGTAACAGAACTATTACTTCTCTCTGTGATTGCTTGTAAATGGCGATGTTTATGTTTTGTGACTGATTTTACAAGGATTGCTAACAGTCATTCAGGTATTACAGTTAAAATATTTAACCCACTATTGGTTTGGTTTATAATAGGGATTGGCTCTCGTAATATATGACTGACTGATCTGTTGTGATCACAGCAGCTTGATTTTTATTTACTTACTACTGAATTGCCACATTTTATTAGGCTAATAACATGATACCTTGTATTAGTTGCATAATATATCATGCAGGAATCTATTTATAGATTCCATTTCTAATTCTCAAGAAAATTCAAACCATCCAATCCCTACAGCAGTATAATTATTAATGTGCTCAGCACTTTTATCCAAAGTGTCTTACTGATACAGTACATATCTTCTCAAGTACGAATCTGATCATCCATTTACAGTACATCGTTGGGTTCTGCTGGGGTATTCTGGGTATGGTCCCTTGCTGAAATGCACAGTACCAGTGTCCTTAGCTAAGACTCAAACTCACCACCCTCCAGTTAGGAGTCCAGTGCTTCACCAACTACTCCTCACAGCACTGCAAAGGATAAGAGACAATGTCCAGAGGAAATTCATTTCCAAAGTCCCTTATCTCTGGAAATTTTCCCTTATCCTTGGAAATTGTACTGTACCTACCGGAGGTCAAAGTAAAACATGGGATGGTGGCACATTATCCATTAACCACAATCTCAACCAGAAAATGCAAATTAAGAAAATAACCTAACACGTCTGGCAGTAGAACTAAAATTAAATGGCTAATTTCTAAGCCAGGTGAAGACTTTGGAAAAACAAGCAAGAGAAATTCTTGCATTTTTTCCCTGATTTTTTCCACCACATCTGAGCACAAAGAATCAAGCATGATGCAGCTTGTAATTGCTGCTTCCAAGAGGCTAGCGGACATTATAAATCCAATAGATCTGAATAAATACTGTAAGTCTAAAGTTCTAACAAGTCAATATATTTAAAAGAAACTTGTGAAAGGCGTTTTTTAAAAGACTTGAACTCCAAAAAATGTCCTCATTTACAATTAATCCATATTAGTATGGCACGGATTTTAACATTGCAACACCGGAATCACACACTCTCCATTTCCTAGAACAACAAGATGAAACCTGGCTGTGCCTCAACGTCTACAGTACATTATAAAATGGATTAAGGGTGTAAACACTGAATCTAGAGTGAATCTAAGGATGACAGTGATGAAGAATTAATAAAACTGTTCACTGGCACTGTCTCTCCTAGAATGCATTGCTCCAAATTTCCCAACAGTGAGAGACTACTAATCTTTCAAGAAACACCTTTCAATGATAACAATTCAGTGATAAAACACTGATGTGTTTTAAGAGCACAGAATTGCTATGAATTATGCCAATATTAATTATCTCTTGCCTTTTCACAGTGTTGAGGGGGCCTTCATTAATATTCATTCCCATAACTGACAACAAATACGTGCTCTTAAAATGCACCATAAACATGAAAAGTACTCTTTCTAAAACACATATAGGTGTCCATTTCACCGATCAAAGGTAGCTATGTCACGCTGATGTGCCCTGAAGACAAAACAACTGTCCATGGCTGCTAACTCTGACAATAACAATAATCATCATCATCATCATCATCATCATCATCTTCATATAGTGCCTTGCATGATGCATCAACTCAAAGTGGCTTAAAAGAAACTAATCAATAATAGAGAGGCACAGCGGTCCTGCAAGATCTAATGTAAGATGGGAGATCATTCCACAGCCTTGCGGCAAAAGAACAGAGTGTTCTAGGGACTGAAATAAGACCAGAGTCCAAAGAGTGCAAACAAGGTGCAGATGTGGAGGACGTCAACACTTCACTGATGCATTCAGGAGCAGACATTCAGGCCAATAGAGGTGAGCAGCAGCATTTTCAATTTTATACTGAAATCCACAGAGATAAAGCAGGGAAGCTTCATGCAAGAGACAAATTAAAAGTGTATTTAGCTGCTTCTTCCACCCTCAGTATCATGAAAAAGCAATAGTTAATATCCAATCCCATATATATTACAGAAATAAATATGACAGGAAGACATGTAGGCAGACAGACAGTGGGGCAGGTTGATAATAAATACAGACAGACAGGCAGACAGGTGAACAGACAGACGAGACTAAAGTACAAACTGCATATATGCACATGCCTAAGTCGACATGGAAAATGCTGTATCAGTGTAGATTCTAGCAAATACACCATCATGCACCATTACCAATGTGTCAGTTTTCAGCAGCTCTGGATCCCAGACATTTTCACTGTGAATTCTAATCCACATTTCTTTCACTTCCACTCGAGCTCCTTAATCAAATGAGAATGGTTTCATGCAAGACAAACAACAGGTTACCTTCCAGCAGAGACATCTAATGTCATTTCTCCAGTTAAATATGAATGAAGCTCTGTACCTTACTGCTATTTATTCCTGCACTAAAACACAACTGCGTGTTTACAAAAGAGGAATTATTCTATAATAAAGATTTTTCCCAGAAGAAATGGATACAGTATATTCAGAATACGGCTTTAACCAGTTAGTGCCCATTCTAACATGACTGCAGGTATGTCCTAGCACTGCAGACCTGCCTTTATGGCTGATTCTCAGCTCACACATGTACACCCAGTTCATTTAACAGGAGCATTCAGCCTACAGCTGGACGGCCTCTCATTACAAGCCCCATCCTCTGCCTCATTAGACAGATATCTAACTTAGCATGATGTGAACGGAAAGCCTATTCAAAGGCAGTGTTCTCTTAATGCAATACAAACTGGGTGAAAGGTTTTTCTTTTACTCAAGTGAATGAACGAACGAACGCAGGCGTCATCAGAACACCATCAAATTAAACAGATTTTATTTGGGAGCTAAACTGCTCATGAAATTGTGCAGGACAATGCAGGCATATTATCCTCTTGGTTCATAATTGTGGCTTCAAGAAATGTTATTCTGTGATCACCAGTATATCGTCTTAAAACGACTCTTCAAAGCATCAAAAAGCAGTTGCATTCTGGCCCATCCACCTACTGTAAGTAAAAAACATGTTAGAAATGTTATTCTTTACTTCCTGGGCCTCAGACAGTTCATATACAGTAGCAGTAGAATAACAAAAATGATATAAAACTTGGCATATGGTAGCATCTCACTCTAACATGCTGTCCGCCCTTAACCAAAAATGGCACATGGAGTATTGTATAAATCAGATGAGGTGAAATCCACTTGCTTCCTCTAGACACAGTCTTGAGGAGATGAGATCAATTAGGATTGTTACTGTGCATTAGATCCCCCCATCCATCTGCCCAGAAATCTCAAGTGATCTAAGAACATTGAACTGAAAGTGTGACGCCTTCATGTACTGAGATAACCAGACAAACCCAAAATGTTTTTTTTACCTGTTCTGCACTGTGGCAGATCAGGGCGGTGATTATATTTTTTTACAAGCTGAGGCGGTGCTGCAATGCTGAAACTAGGGGTAGGCCCGCTTAAGAAACAGGTTTGCGCTTCCTATCCTTTTCCATGATTG